ACCCGGACCCCGCTGCGGCTGCTTTTCTGGCGCGTTCGTGATTTCAGCCCCGCGCTAGACCCTTCCCAGCCATCCCCGAAGTTCTTGGGGTGCCCTGAAGCTCCCCTCTTTTAACAGGGCGAGCTGCCGCGTTGGGAACCGAGGCGATGCCGGACTCAATCCTATCTCGGCTCGGAAGCCGCTTTTTAAATTTCCCGGTGCGAAAGGCTCCTTGACGGGGGCCGATTGTGGCGCCCTGCTCACCGCAGCAATATTTGAGCGAAGGAGACGGGAGGCTCCAGCCGGCACCTCAGCAAAGGGGACCCTCAGGAAATGCTCACACCTGCGGCCGAAGAGAGGCTGCAATTCCAGGCTGAAGCAGGGGACGGATCTATCCGAAGGCACCCCGTACAGGTGAGCCTCCTCCCCAAACCCTTCCAGTAGCTCCCACCCCAATTAATGCTTGTATTTGTGCTGACTGGAGCCTTCCTGTTTAAGCCAGAAGAGCAGCTGCACACAATTTTCTGCATTGAAGAGGAAACAACACATCTTGGGTGTTCGGTATCTGGCAATTCGAGCGTGGTATCTAGGCTGAGAACCAGTGAGTTCTAGTCCTGCCGCCTTAGGCCTGAAGCCAGCTGGGTGACTATGGGCCAGTCCCCCTCTCAGCCCCAGGAAAAAGGAAAGAACAAATCACTCCCAAAAATGTTGCTGCATGGACTTGTTCCTGCACCCACCAGGAGTAATATTGACTCAAAGACACATTTCCCGAGCATCGTGTATAGCTGAATGCATCTAATTACTCCTCAGTCACCTTGACTAATGCTTCTTCAACTTGCAGTTAAATTAAGGCTCATTTTATACTCTCAAACTCGGCTTCATACAACATCCAGGCAAAATTTAATATTAAGCATCACCTAAACTGAGATGTGGCAGGGGAGAAGAAACCATGCACAAGGCATCATTTTGTCCGTTAAAACTTCAGATAAGCAGGACAATTGAACAATACAAACGGAAAAGAGATGGACCCAAGACATTGGACAGGAATGTCAAACTACATTGAGGCAAGGTAAAAAAAAAAAATGAAGTATTCTTTATTGAAAAGTGTTCATTTCTGAGGATTCCTGTTTCAAGATAAGCCATTAAAACAGTTTTGTTTCCAAACGCTGCTTTTTGCAGTCATTAACATCCTTGTTTTGCATAAAGGGGTGAAGAAAAACTCATGGTTCACCTATGCTGCTGAATTCCAGCTCCCAGGTATGGTCATTATGAATAATCTGAAGGGCCACAGGCTTCACACACAAGTTGTTTGTTTTAAATATGGCATTCTTTTTATGAAATGGACTAAAAGTTGAATAATAAAAACAGCTGCTATGACTATTTTAAAGAAGGTACTCACATAATAAAAGGATAAATATTTACAGAGAAATATCTACAATTGGGTCTAAGTGCATGTGGTGCACCAAGACTGAATAACTGAAAGGGATACTGGCTACCAGCCTCACAAAATCACATTTTTTCCCCTTAATTCCTTACGATTCTTCTTGGTCTTCAATCTTTGGAGCCAAATAATATTTCAAATGTCCCATATCTGCTATCTTGTATTCCACAACTGCAGGAGACAAAAGAGCCAAGGAAAACAGTTAACGGCCAATCTGAAACCATCAATCAAATCAGTGAAATAACGCGAAGGCACAATTCCTCAGCGAGGCTGACAATATTCCACTTACCTAAGGGAACATCTGCAGACATACTGAGTATAACGGTAGGAGAGAGAGGTGTAGCTTTAGTAAAGAAATTCAAATATCTCAAAGCAAAAGTCAGCTGGACTGGTTCATTCATCTCTATTGTTACCTGCAAAAAAATGAATGAAGATTAAGGACTGTGAGAGAAGAGAGCAACAGCAAGAGACAGTTCAAGCTTCCTCAGGGCCTACTTACAGCTTCCTCCTCTTTATCAACATCACTGGTTTGTGAGAGTTTGACATTTCCACTTCCAAGTTCACCAGTGGCAGAAAATTTAACACCATCTTTTGTGCAGGAGATTACAACAGCATCTCCAATGTGACTGAGGTCGCGGCAAATGCGTGCAAATTCAGCAGAGGGCATTTTCACCACACAGCTGTATTCTTGTTCCTGAAAGATCATCATATAAGCTTTAGAATTGTAGGAGTCATTCAGGCTAAAGTCATCACCTGATTTTGTTGCATTTCTCATGGGGCATAAACCAGCAGGGCCAAGTAAAACATAAATGAATGTTTTTAAAAGATATAAGAGAAGCAAACACTTTATTTTTACAACTGTTCTATTTTAATGTAGCATTTTCTAATGCCTCCAAGCATAACATTTAGAAATGTAAGAATTTTGAGGGCTAAGTATCAATCACACTCCTGCTTCAAAATTATATTACAGTTCTATAGCATGGAACATATTTAACGTTTTAATTTTTAATCTGCTCTCCATTAAAAGCAGATGCCATACAAACTGTGTACAGATAATCCTCACTTAACCATTTGTTTAGCGACCGTTCAAAGTTATGATGGCACTGAACGGTACTTACGCCCAGTCCTCAAAGTTATGGCCATCACAGCTTCCCACAGTCATGTGATCAAAATTTGGGCACTTGCCAGCCTGCCCACATTTATGACTGCAGGGTAAGCTTCAGCTCCTCCCACCTATCTCTCCCCCCAATCTCTACCCTTTTGGACACCCTGCACTCTGCCCAGGAACCTGTTGTCTTGCAGAGGGCCAGGCCGGGCATGCCTCGTCAGTAACGGGAGGAAGACGACCGTGAAGGTCAGCTAGGAGCTGCAGGGCCAGCCAAAAGGGCAGAGATGGGGGGAGGAGTTGAAAAGGAGGCAAGTGCAGCAGGGCAGGAGACACATGAGGTCCTGGCCTAACAACCACAACCAGGATTACTGAAACTGCTGTTGCTAAGCAGTGGAGTCACATGTTTCACTGCATTGTTTAGCAACGTAAATTCCGGTCCCAATTAGGGAGGTTACGCGAGGATTACCTGTATCAAAACCACAAAGCAGAACATTAGCAGGCACAGCAACATTCTAATTGTTGCAGCAGCCATAGGTTCAGTCGAAAGCCTGAGCAAACAAGCCAGTCTCTAACCATTACTGGATAGCACTTACATTTAACCCAATTCATCATAGTATCTTTGACACTTACTGGAATTCCAAGCTGTTCTACGTCCAAATCCATTAATTTCATTTCATAGTCTGAAACCTTCTCCTGATCTATAGAAAAATGTGAATTATCATTTTATGAGAAGCAAAGTAATTTCCTGACTAAATACTGTTTACTAGCCATCTATCTACAAGCTATTTGAATAGTTCTTAAATAAAAGACAGTAACAAAACCAGTGGCCCTTTCAATATTATTAGTCAAAATAATGTTGCAAACA